GATTTTTCCTTGCAGTCATCCAGGTCCTCTTGTGTATTCTGTTGTCATGTCTGGAATGTGTTTTCTCCTCAAGCATTTATTTTAACCTTAAATCTGCTGAAATTAACTTATTCCCCTTCTCATTCTGAAATATGAAACCTTTCTTTTTCTGAAATGGCATTTGCAGAAAGGTGCATTCATTGGTCTGTTCTGTAACGCTGCATTCTTGAAAATCACTTATTTCACTGAAGTATTGTGTCCTTGTAATTCGTTGTGTTAAACAAAGAGACTGCCTTTTGTTAATTAAAAAACAGAATTCTAAGAAGATTAGACACAATTGAAACATGTACTAGTAGAGCCCTTTAGCTAATTTTCACCATCCAGCCTTCCTTTTCTGAATCTACCCTAATATTATGACCAGTGTCACCAAATGTTAGAGGACACTGCTAGAGCCAATTAATTATCGGCTGTGTGTTTTTGGATTGCTGCATGGTAGATTATTTTTAAAAACCTTATCAGTTACACTTGTTAGTGAGTGCTGCATAAGCAAAATGCTTTAATCGTGTTTAAATCCCAAGGGGTTTTTGTTTTCCTCTAAAATAACTAGAGAATAACCTTCAAGCAAGAGTTGCTCTTTTACACTACTTTTGAGCCCTTTGGGAAATGTGTTAAACTCTGTCCTGTTTTTCAGGAACTGTTCTTGCACTGTTGTTGACATAATCCAAAATTAACTAGACTCAAAATGGTTTGAGACCACTACTGCAGCATGAATTTATATTACACTAATCTTTAAGTATTATTGTTCTTTTCTGTCTAAACCTAGTCCATTAGATGTAATACAGGCACTGACTTATGATGATAAGGAAGTAAGTATGAAGAAACATACTATTAAAGATAAATGAATGTTGCAATTTGTCCTCTTCCAGCTATAAAGAGGTTTTTTGGCATTATAAGGGGCCTATAGTTTTGTCACAATGACAAATGGTGAAAGTTCAAGCTTTGTATTGAACGCTTAAAGTGGAAATATGAGCGGTTCTTGCCTCTTTTCAAGTTGTCACATCTGCAATTTGACGTGCATCAGGAAAAGAGGCATTTGCTGAATCTGAATTCAATTATTTGAGGGATCAAACTTCACAATTTAACGCATTATTTTACAGCATCTTTTTTTTTTTCCAGTTAAAAAAATCCCGAACCAGCTTTGTTCCTTCTCCTTTAGCATTTACAACATACAAATATTTTGTCTTGTAACAAACAAGTTTTTATCACATTTTCAAGCTGAAAACCACATTGTAATTCCATCATTTTTTCCCAGATTAAACAAAGTTTTAGTTCCCGACGCCCTTTGTTTTATTGGTTTCAAATCCCCTTCTTAAAAACTTCACATTGAGGTTCTCACAGGAAAGTCACTTTTTATGAGGAGTCATCCCAGTTTAGTTGAATATTAAAACATAAGATAGGCCACAGGCCATTAGGTCCATCAGCCTCATCTTGGTTTATTCCTATATAGTTCTGTACCGGTACTGGAGTTCTGGGAAGGGTTCTGGACTCCTGGCCAGAGGCTTGTGGGCTGAATTCTGATGGCATGTTGCTGTTATACCCCTGAGCAAAGAACATCTTTCTTAAAGCCCTCCTGTATAACTGGCTTTCATTGACAATAAGAATTTGTTGACTTATCGGGGTGAAAACTAAGATAATAACCTGTCTCTCCTTTGGAAGAAATGTGTAAACTGCAACCAGTACATCCATTGCATGATCTGTCTTGCTTCCTGTAATTTAATCCTTTTTACTGCATAATGAATTGGAAGGTTATTCTTAAAGTGTCAGTTCTCCAATAAACCAGTTTATGAATTTCCATTTTTCATTACATTTTCTATATGAAAATTACTCGACATCTTTTGATCAAAGTTTGGGAACGCAAACTTTTAAAAGCTGAAATGTCAAGAAGGTTGTCTGCAGTTAATGGTATACAGTCATTACAAACCATATAAAATGACAAAATCATTAAAATAAAGTCATACATTTCAAGCATATTATGATGAACTACATTTGAAAATATTACTTCCAAAAAAACAATTGCTGTGAACACAATTCATTCCGCAGGTGCCTGACAGCCTCCACAACCTGGAGTAACACTGCTGTTTGAGGTAGATATACTAGTGTCACATTTGAAGGAGATGTTTTTCAGTAACTTAGTTCTGCATTTAACGGTATGTGAACATTGTTTGGATATATTGAATTTCTCAGTGAAAGGATTTAATGAATTTAGACATCTAAATTGTAATCTGATAAAATTCTGTAGCTTTGCATGTCCGTGTGGAACATAAGCTTATCTAGTGCTAAATTTTCCTCTGTTGTCAAATCAAAGCCTCTTTTTGTTTTTTGTAGCAGTTCAGTGTGTTTTCGAGGCTGTTAAAAAAAAAAATACCAGTTATTATCTACTGGTATTACATAGGAATGTTTTCATGAAGACATTTCATAACAAGAAGTGGCTTTGCCCTTTTTAGGAATTCTTAATTCCTTCACAGCATTCCGTTACACATATTCCTAACGACTTTAAGGCCAGATTGGATTCCTTGTGATCAGCCGTCCGTTTTCTAACTGTTTCTTCCACTTCATTGCTGTGGGAGGAGCTTTTCCTGTCCAGCCACGTGCACGAGGCATGGTACATCCCGGATGAGACGCTAGTCCATACTTGCATCGGGGCAAGTGTGTCACGTGGCCAGTTAAACTAAAAGTATGTTTTTGGACTGGGGGGGGGGAACTGGAGTACCTAGAGGAAACCCACATGAACACAGGGAGAATATAAATACTCCACACTGATGGCCCCCCAGGTCTGGAATTGAACCCAGGAGGCTAGTATTGCAAGGCAGTTCTGCGAACCATTGTGCCATATTAATCCTAATTGTGCGTGGGAGTAATAAAAAGACTTGGAATAGGCACAGGACCAGCGGAGTTTCCACCTTTTCTCATTGCATTGGTCATGAGGTTACTTGTTTGCTTTGCAAGCCGACATTCAGGGTTTTATTTCTGGTTGAACCTGCCTTTTCCCCTGGAGCGTTACTGTATGCAACAGGTGTTTCAGTTATTTTGATTTTGTTGTTGTTTTAAAACTAAGTATAATTCTTCAAAAGCAGCAGTTGTGCACTTCAGCGCATTGTGATAGTGTTGGTAGACCACAATGAGGTAGCTTTAATGTTAATTGAGAAAAAACAGGCTAATGTAAAGGAAAAAAAAACTGGTTTGTCCTCTTTTCTATGCATGTTATTCCGAACCTTTGGGCATTTAATTTTATTTATGTGCCGTTTTCCCAGTTAGGTGTCTCAATGGTGACTTGCTGCTGCATGTTTGAGAGCCTTCTGTTTTGTGATTGTGTGATACATTTCTGATTTATTTTAGAAAAATGCCATTAGAATGGCATCTCTTAGAAAATAATTACCTTGTTTGGCAGGGAGTTAGTGTGGATAATAACTGCGAATAAACAATTACAGCCCAGTGCCTGGGCCAAGGTGACACACAGCCTTTCAAGTGAATCATTTTCCCCTTTTTCAATTAGCACACTTGATATCTGGCCTATAACATATTGGAACCTTGTGAGCTCTCCAGCGATCTTTTGGATTTGGTTTATTGGGTTTTTTTTCCTTGTTGTCCATGATGCAGCTAGCATTTTATTAAAGGATTGATGAAAGCTGTTACTAGGCTTTTTTTTTCCTTCGCCCTTCCTGTTTGGCCATTTGAGATTTCAGGGCTGTCAAGCGTGGACATGCCTTTCTGTGAACACAAAGGAAAGGGCTTGTGTGGTAGCCAAATCAATTTTAAACAACTCTGGCACCTTGATGAAGAAAAAAGTAGGGTAAAATGTTTCCGCAGGGGTTGCAAAGAGTGTATAATGGGACAAGTCTTAAACTGAGAGTGACATGCCTTCAGGGTGGTGAAGTTTTAATATTTGCTTTATCTGTGTGGTTTTTTTTTCCCTTTTGGAGCATCTGGAGTTAAATATTTGCTCTTTTGGTTCCTGCACGACCCAGTTGCATCCAAATTCACAATATACTGGTGCCAACTTTTTAATATTGATGCCAGAGGCAGGGCATCTTCTGTGCTCATATTCTGGAGTAAATGCTGGAGCCGCGGTTGGTCCCTTCAGACCTCCTGAATAAATGTGCTGTTGCTCTTTGTTTGCTGCGCTTCACCATAAATATGGGTTTCTCTAGATTAGAGTGCTTGGACTCCAGTTATTCTGTCTCCTGCTGAGTGTATTGTGCTAGATTTACACAGTGGGAGTTAGTGGGATGTAAGGAGAATGTAAGGAGAATGCTGATTACTGGAGTTAATTTTTTTTTTCTCTCATTGTTTCTTCCTGTTCTGCTTTGACATCTATACATATTCATTCTGTGCTTATTTTAGCCTGGGTATTTATCGTACATTTGCAGTTCCCTGTTTTTCCCAATAATTCTGATTTGCACCAAATTTTGCTTCTGAAGTTGGTAAAACTGGAATTGACAAGAAAACAAGAGTGCATATTAAGGTGATATTAGTGTTCATGAGAGGGCTAAAGCTTGTACAACCAGTGTTTTGCATTGGCACTGAAAGTTTATTCTCAGTTGCTTGCAGTCTTTCGTATGTCGGTGCAAGCGAAGGACCTGCCAAGAAACTAAGCTGTCCAGTAAATCATACTCTGATTATAATTTTATGAGATGGGATGTTCCTCTGTAGCAGTCTTTAAACTGTTGTAGAGTTGTGTGTAAATACGTGAATACACATAATTACTGATAAACTGAGGAGATTTTTTTTTTACTGCCTTGTAATGGAAGTTCTTCTAACAACAAAGATTAATGAAACCACCATCATCCAAAGTGCATATTAAGAGGCCAAAAGCTTGGCTGAAAGTTTTTCACCTGGACATTTTGGTCTTTGGAGTGTTCTGAGGTTTCCCCACATACAATATTGATTGCACTTACAGCCCCCTTTCCCCTATTTTGCATGTTTTGCATGTATGGGGAACTTACACTTTATCCTTTTTTCAGGATCTAGTAAACATTGAGATGTTTCTCACAGCCAAGGAGGTAGAGGAATCTCTGGAAAGACAGGAAACAGCCACCTGTTTGGCATGGTGCCACGACAATAAATCAAGACTCCGAAAAATGAAGGTAAAAGCTTTTTATTAGATCAAGTATATCAAAAACAGTACCCCCTACTGTGTTCATATATGGTAACACAGTTGTTTCTTATTTCTTTTATAAGCCTTTTTATGCTTTTTAATTTGAAGTTCAGATTATACTTCTGGATTATATTAATTTCAATATAATCCAGAACTATAGGATTCTGATATGAATCTAGGAAAAATATAAAACTAGGAAATGGTCTATTTTTGTTTATTTTGCTTATTTAGAGAGCTCAAAGGACCACAGGTAAAATGGTGTTCCCATAACAGTAAATGGCAATGAGAAAATTCAAAAGTGTTGATTACTTGTAATGAGCAGAGAGACACTGTGTATTAACTGTGTTCACAGGACTTAGTTCTGTGGTATATTCAAGAGCAAGCAGCTTGATTGATTCCAAAATTCATGTGATAAGTCAGCATATGTTTCTTTAAATGATTGCATCAATGAATAGATATCCTGTAAATGTGCAGATCCTTACAAAATGTACATGTTTAATTTAAAACTGCACTCACTTGCAAGATGTCAGCTTGTGTTGTCCGGTTAAAGGGAAACTGTAAAGCTATTTTTATATTTCAGGATTAGAGAGAATCAGCACTGATGAGTGCATTACAAACCACAATAAAAGTAAAATGTACACAGTGACTTGTAAAACCTTCAATTTATCTAACAAAATAGATAAAATTTCCAGGTGTGCACAGTATCATGTTCTGTGGTTCAGAACAAGGCAACAAGACTTCTGATGTGTTGCGTACTTATTGCATTGTAAATAAGCAGGCTTGTAAATACATCTTTTAATCCAAGATAAATATTGCTCTTGAATTTGAGATGGTTTTGCTGACAAATACTTGTTAATTCTGCATACAGATCACGTTGGAACTTTCTGTGAAATGTTGGTTTCACAACCTGTACTTATGTGCTCGTACTGTACATCGCATTACATTAGTCATTACAGTGACTAGTGAGCAGGAAGGGCTGCTTCATGTCACAATTTGTGACAACTCTCACACTCCTCATTGGTGAGTCCTGGCATTTGTGACAATATGGAGACTTGCAGTACTTTCAGGCTTAATTCAGAATTTGTATAAAAAGTTAATATCGCCAATGGATTTGTTTTGTTATTGCGATTTAATAACTGGTTTGACTGCTGTTCCCCTTTAAAGAAGAGGGCTTCAGTTAAATGTAAGCACAAGTAAAAAAAAAATATTAAAAAGGCCAAAAGAAGATGACTTATTTAGCCACCATTGCAATAGTCCATTCTTTTGTGTACTACAGCAGCAAAATTATTATAAAGGATGAAGTAAAGTATGTCTGGGACAATAATCAAGAAACGTATCGATTATACAAGGGAAGTGTCCAAAGTACTAAATGAATATTTAATTCAGGTGTTCTCTAAGAACAGAGTCGGCTACATGCCTTAGGCAGTGGATAGACACTATTAAATAGAAACAGCATAGTAGAGGCAGGACTGATTTGAGTACTAGGAAGCACCAAAAAATCCCCAGGGCCTGATGGTTTCTTACTAATTGTACTCAAGGAAACAGTTGTTGTGCAGAAACCACTGACACAGAAAGAGGTAGTAGCCATGGGTTGGAAAATTGCTAATGGAGTGCCCATCCATAAGAAGTTTGAGAAAAAACGGAACTATCTAATTTTAGTGTTGCACGTAATATAATTCAAACAATTATTAGAACTAAACTAGAGGATCACTTATGGAAAACAGATACTAGGGATAGTCAGCATGGATTTAGAATACGTAAGTCTTGCTTAATCAAGTTGTTAAAGTTCTATGGACAAGCAACAGCAGTAAGGAATAGCCATAGAGCATATGATAAGGTGTATTTATAGTTTCAGAATGCTTTTGATATAGTTCCTCATGAAATATTTCATTCCTATTAATGTTGTAGTTACTGGAGTACCACAAGGAACTGTATTTGGACCACAGTTCTTCCCAATTTAAATTACCTAGATTCTGTTACAGTAGTAAATTATTCAATGTTTGCATTGGATATCAAATTAGGATGATTAGCTAACAATGTAGAGGCAGTAAATACAATTTAAAAAAATATTTAGATAAAGGCAGGAAAAACACCTGTCAAATGAAGACAGGTGTGGGATTTTTGCATGCAGGTTGCAAAAACAAACTACACATTTAAAACAGGAATGATGTGCTAGAAGAGACTTGGGTGTTTATGTTAACACGTCATTTATTAGGCATTATAGTCAAAAGTGGAGTAATAAAATCGAGTGATGTTACGTTCAAATTCTATAATTTTATAATTTTAGGTTGTGAACTAGTTTGACCTAATTTAGAAAATTGCTTGCAATCTTGGTTACAATGTTCCAAAAAACATTGTAACTACATGGTAGTGCATTTCAATCTGAAAACGGCGGACCCGAAGGCTAACGAGAGCCACCCAGCTATGTTATTGAAGCTGACACCCTGGCTTCTATCAAGAAAGGGCAGGATATGGTCCTTGGATCAATTAATTAGCTAGTGCTGTCATTAGGTGCTGGACAAATGCCTTTCTCCAAAGGCTGCAAGTGACACGAGATGGACAGCAAATTCACCACAAATACAAACTGACAACTTGAAACTGAGTGCAGCTGACTTAAATTTATAAAATGACCTCATGTATGTAATGAATAGGAAAATTATAGCACATTATTTAATTAGTTGTAGAAATGAGGTCATGTTTCTTACATTGTTCTGCATCTTTCTAAAATGTAAAGTTTCTAAAAAGGTAATATATTTTGAGTTCATTACCAGAAGTTTGATTTTAGAAGAAGACTTCAACAAATTTGTCTTATTATGTTAAAGAATGTGTACAAACATTTTTGGTGCCTGTGTGACGGAGCAAACCGAGTTGAGTTGAGAGCAGTTGATTCTCAATCCTGGTTCTGGAGGGACCCCTGTCTCTCCTAGCTTTTGTTCCAGCTGAGTTCTTAATCACTGGGAGTATTGATTCCTGTAATTGAACTTCCTGCTTGGTTAGACCTTTTAAAGACCTTTTTAATTTTCTGCACAACAGTGTTTAGTTTCAAAAACGCTCTGCTGCAGCAATGGATTTTAGCACACTGGAATTCATTCTTTCAGTCCTCAACTTGGCTTTGTGGCAAGCTCTTATTTCTGTCTTAACTCTTCATAGGTGATCAAACACAAGTTGAAATGATGTATCAAACACCCCCCCAAAAAAACTTTTTCAATACAGCAATTAATGAGATTTCATATCCTTGAATAAGGGTAGGTGGAAAACCCAGACAAGGTTTGAGAGCTAATTACTAATCCCATTCAACTTCTTAAGAATTATAATTGGAGTAATTGACGTGTCGTTGACTAAGAGCTCATTTGGAATGTAAACCATAAGAGACAGGAGATGGGTTGATAACCCTTTATCTCGAATATAACAATTCAGTTTTTCTGGGAAAATATATTCCTGTTCCAAGAGAAAAAACAACAACTTACTGTACCTGTTCTTGATTTTAATACAATGCAAGTGTGGGGAAACATTGTTTAGATAATTATGAATTGCTGTGATTTATCACAGCTGATTCTAATGTTTTAAAGTAATAAGAATACAGATTAGAATCAATTTTAAACTCTCGGTCCTCCAGCACTGCAGAGCAGCTATTGTGTTTGAATTTAGTATTGGCTGCTTAATCAGAAATGCCTTGTTCTGCATCATCAAATGTCAGAAAATGTTAAATGTGTTTAACATAAAGTGTTAAATGATCATATTTATTTTTTCAGTTTCTAATTTTACAGATTTAAAATTTAATGCGAAGCCTTTAAAAAAAAAAAAATGACCTGAAAGCCATTTCTGTCTAAACCACTTTCCTACAATTTGGAATCCCGTTTCAGCAGTGGAAGTTGCTGCTTAAACAATTTTTTTAAGAGAGTACGAGCCCTGGCTATTATCCCCTCACTAAGCTGTGGAGTCTGTAAAGCAAGGTTTTAAATTGCAGTTTCTGTAAAAGATTGCATAAGACAAATGTGTTCCTGATCCTCTCCGTTTTGCATCATATTATTTTTACTTTACCTTTAATCATAGGCACATTCTCTAGCCTAGGATGCAATACTCATGTGTTTAAGAATCACTTTTTCCTCAAGCCAAATACTGAGACACTTGAGAAATGAGGCCCCAGATTCAAAATGAACATCAAATAGGCTATAGTTATCTTGTTCTTTAGGATTTGACTGTGACATCTCATCTTGTGTACTTTTTTGACAAAACTTAAAATCAGATGTTCTACATGAGCAAAAGGGATTTTTTTGCCTGTCAAGTTTGAAAACAAGCTGGCAGATCAGAGAAGTAATTTGGCTGTGTTTGATATAAGATCTTTATTTACACAGCTTTTCCTTCAGCTGATTGGTAGTGATAAAATTGTTGATACAGTGGATCAGTACATAGCATTGATCCAAGATTGAAGCAGGAAGGAAAGGTGAAATGATTTATCTTTAATAGATTAAAGAGTTAATGATGCAGAACAAATTAAGTTGGGTGGTGTGTTGTATTCCTGAAGTGTTTTCAGTATATATTTGTAAGCTGAATTAAAAAGGTTCACTCTGTTCCTTGCTTTATGTTGATTCCACCCTGAGTGAGGAGGAGGATCATGGGAAGTGACAGTACTCTCTCCATATTCTTACTTTGCATATGTATGTGGTTGCATATGTAGTTTTCCTTCCAGAGCTGTCTGGAGTTCAGCCTCCGAATTCAAGAGTTCATCGAGCTTATCCGCCAGAATAAAAGGATGGACGCAGTCAGGTATGACATACAATTCTTCACTTATAAGTGTAAATACAATTTTATCATGACAAATTTCTTTTTATTATTGGCAGTATAGTTTATTAGACATTATAAACTAATTCTGTCTTACTAGTTTTCCAGATAAACTGTCAAGTTAAGGTTTCAATAATTAGTTTTTACATTATAATGCATGTTTACTGTAACAGTCTTGGGGAACATTATAATCTGTACATCTCTCATAAGGCTAAAGGGTCCAAAAAGAAAGGAAGGCCAGATTTTGTTTTTTGTGGATTTGATAATTCTTCAAAAATCCATGAAATAATGTTGAAATACTGCAGATGTCCAGAGGCAGTTCTGATTTACAGCTTCATGGTCCTGTGCACAAAAAGGAGTGAAACCACATTGTCAGAATTTTCTTTTCATTATCAATCTAGTGAAATGATGGTGTTATAATAGAGAAGTAAACCTGCGTAAACTGAATATAAGTGACATTTCTTAAGAACAAGGAACTGCAAGCCTCTTATTTAAATGCTGCAGTGGTCTCTGATACCTACTGAAGCAGTGGCATTGTTTTATACAAATGCCAAGTGACAGCTGTAAGGGTCTTGCAGTACTGTGTGCCATCAAAAAAAAAATACTAATAAAAAATAGGTCAGACATGCATTAGGAAGCTATTGCCACATAGTGAGTGGGTTTGTGAAGGCAGGGAAGGGGGAGATGTGACATTTTGTTGAGCCACAGCTGGTGCTTAAAGAAGTTTTTGAAAGCTTTCCTGGGTGCCTGCTGGGAAGCACCAAGTCCTGGGCGTGTGCAGCTCAAATAGCAAAAAATGCAGCTTTGAAGAAGAAAAGCTCACTGAATAGAACCAGTGTCAGTCACTGAATAATGATGCATAAAAGAAAATAGAGCATAAAAAAAAAACCTAGAGCACTTCAGGAATTAAAGTACTCAAGTGTCACTCAAACACCAACTGCTAAATCTGGCTTCAAATTACCACCTGGATTAAAATGGCTGTGGCAGTTTCCAATAAATGTCCTGAGGCTGCTGTTAGATGGGAATAACTTTTAGCTGCCTCTTAAGGATTAATAATTTGTTTAGGAACAAGTAAAGTTGAAAGTGCTGCAGGTGCGGCACCTGAAAAGGGCTTGATAGCCAAAATGTTTCTGCTTCTCACATTTTAATGTGGGTTAACCTGTACTTGTACCTTTTGCAGCCAATGCATGCTAACAAAGCTCCCTGCTCAAATAATTATTTATACAACTGAGTAAAAATTACCTTCATTTGGAAACTCAAAAATGAAAAGGAATTGTTCTGAAGAAATGAAAAACTTGCCTTTGTCATAGCTTGTCCGTTTTTGATGGGTGTTCTACCACACAGATGTTGATAACACAAGTTGTAAAAGAAAGAGATGCGCATTTTCAAGAAAAAACAAAATCAAGAATAACGTTTCGATGAATACGTTTCAGCTGTGGAGCCTTCTTCGGGTGTACTCGCAGCCAAAACATTGTTTTCTTTCTTCTCTTTTCAGCATGGAATAAACCTATTACTTGTTCCTTTACAGCCTTTGCATGCTGATGCAGCTACCCACCTGAATAACGTTTAGCTGTTGACTTCATGTCTTAGATATTCATAATACCTGATCAATTCATTTTGTACAGGGACTATCAAGAAAAACAGCCTTCATGTAAATGTGCTTTACATTAAATGTCTTGCATAATATAATTGCTATGTTTTTATAGCCTTTTACTGCATACTTAATTATACCCTATTCTGTTCAGAGTTTGGAAAATGCTTTAAAATCCTGAAAATGTGCACTATAATGATTTGGTTCTTTCATGAATGTCTATTAATAGGGTCCAGAAACATGCTTTTAATATTGAGAAGAAATGAAAAGTGCCATTTTGCATAGCTCCACTTGTATTTTGTACATTTGCCAATATATTTTACCAGCATGGAGCTACATTCACCAAACAGTGGTGAAAGACTTATTTTTGAAACATTTGCACTGTGATGGACCAGTTGCATCTGTAGTGTTTCAGAAACTTAATGAATGATCCCCCATTACCCTATAGTGTCTATAGAGAATATGCACCACCCTTGAACTTTTTATTTCATTTTTTTGTGCCTTTTAAATGAATATTTTGTGAGTCTGTTGGGATATCTCTTTTCCACCTTGCACACCTAGATTTGGCAACATTTGAGCATTTTTGCTAGCAGCCATATCACCCTACATCTCGCAACTGGCAGCCCACTGAAGCTAAGCAGGTGTGAGCCTGGTCAGTACCTGGATGTGAGTCCTCCTGGGAAAAACTAAGCTTGCTGCTGAAAGAGGTGTTAATGGGACCAGCTGGAGGTGCTTACCCTGCGGTCAATGTGGGTCCTAATGCCCCAGTATGGTGACGGCAACACTATACTGTAAAAAAAAAAAGTGCCGTCCTTCAGATGAGACGTAAAACTGAGTTCCTGACTCTGTGGTCATTAAAAATCCCAAGGTGTTTCTTAAAAAGAGTAGGGGTGTAATCACGATCTATGAATTAGCTTCATCACTGTGTTCTCCTTCCCGCGAATAGTTGATGTGTGGTGAGTGTTCTGGTACACTATGGCTGTTGTCGCATCATCCAGGTGGATGCTGCACATTGGTGGTGGTGGAGGAGAGTCCCCATTACCTGTAAAGTGCTTTGAGTGGAGTGTCCAGAAAAGTGCTATATAAGTATTAGCAATTATTATTCTTTTCGAAACTTTTCAAGTTCTGTCAGGTTCCTTGGAGAGCATTGGTGGACAGCAGCCTTCAAGTTAAGCAACAAATTTCAAATTGTCTTTAGGTCAGGACTCGCATTGGGCCACTCCAGGATATTTGACCTTTTTGTTCGTTAGCCACCCAAGTGTAGCTTTGGCTGTGTACTGTGGGTTGTTGTCATGCTGAAAAGTGAACTCTTATCTCAATTTCAGCTTACTTGCAGAGGGCCAGAGGTTTTCCTCAGGACTTATGTACTTTGCTCCATTTATTTTACCTTTAGTCTTGACACGAGCCCCAGTCCCTGTTGATGAGAAACATTCCCATAACCATTCCCATAAGATGCTGCCTCTTCTATTCTTCACAGTAGAGCTGGTGTTCTTTTGGTGATGTGCTCGATAGGTTTGGCCCTAAACGTGGGCCAAAAGTTCCATTTTAGCTTTGTCAAAGCTCAAAACTTTCTGGCATTTTTTTTCAGTATCATTTAAAAGTTTTGTTGCTGTTTTTTACAGAAATGGCTTCCTTCTTGCCATCTTACCATATAAGGCAGATTTATGGATTACTTGAGATGCTGTTGTTGTCACAGGTACACTTTGACCAATCAAGGCTGTAAAAGCCTGTAGCTCTTTCAAAGTTGTCATTGGCCTCTTGGTAGCCTCTCTGATCAGTTTCCTTCTTGCTCGACCATCCGGTTTAGAGGGATGGAAGATTTGGCAGGGTCTTGGTGGTGCCGCACACCTTCCACTTAATAATCATCTTGACAGTTCTGCAAGGCACATTCAAGGCCTTTGATTTTTTTTTTTTATACCCATCCTCGGATTTTTGTGCGTTTCCAAAACGTTGTCCTGAATTGCTTTGGAAATCTTGTGGGTGCACATGGTTGACTTGTTGCTTTGAAATGCACTAACCAGTTGAGAGAATATACAGGAATTCAAATTGAATTGAATTGATTCGCCACAATTTAACACAGGTGGAGGCTAGTTAACTTGGTATGTTCTGTTGAAGACTTTTGGTTACTACCAATAATCCCTACAGAATACTGGTTATTTAGCTCAGCAGAGTTACTCACTGTCTAAGGAGTGGCGCTCTGATATTTGTTCAGATTGAAGATCGATGATGATCTTCAATAAGTATCTCCTTTAGTTTCTTGGAAATGCTAGTTGTTGCTAAATTAGTTTTGATTTGAGCAGGTTCCACAACCTTTATATAACTGGTAGTATTTAGTTGTCTATTGTCTTTCTCTGTTTTTATCTCAAGCAGAAGAACATGATACTATACTGAAGGCTTTCACAGCAAATTGTGAAGCTCCATATATTGATCCATTGTTTTACACTTCAAGTCAGTTTTAAAGATGTCTTTAAAATGATGTCGGTTGTAAAAGCTTGTCTTATGGAGGTGGCAGTACTGTACTTAGAGATCCCAGAGCACAGACTAAAGTGCCAGAGTACAGTTTGTTCTCTGTTTTGTCATTCAATCCCCATTAAGCTTCTCAGGTGTCTTTATTGGAGTCTGTTGGTGTAAAAGTGAAGGTGAAGTAAGGGGTCCCAGTAATGAATAGTGGTGCTAATTTCTCTGTAAACACAACACTTTATCCTTAAGGTAATTTTCTGTAGCTCTTGAAGTGGACAGTAGCTGATGAAGCTGTGCTTATTTTTCAGATCTTTTGATGCAGACTGCTACAATTTGTCTCTGTGCTTACCAGAAAAGTGACCTAACTGACTTAGCTATGTTGCTGCTGGTCAGGCAGGATCCTTGCTCCAATACCATTACTCCCTGGAGCTGGATGCTATGTGACCTCTGTTTTCTTAAGGCCTATAATGAAATCCAAAAGTAGATGAATTAACAAGAGCTGGTTAGCAGTTCTGTGTCCCCTTCAATATTATCTCCCTGATGAGAATCTTGGCATGTAAATGAAGTAGATTCGGTCTGGATCACTACTTCTGCTATTAGAGCCATTTTATACTTGTAGGTAGGACATTTTTACCCCATTTGTATAATTAAATGGTCCTGATTGGCCTGAAGAAGGTAAAACCTACTTGTCATACCATCATGAAATTGTGATTTTATCCTGGATCCTGACTGGATGCCCAGGCATTTTAAGTAGTTTCCATAGACGGTCTCTGCAGAGTGTCAAAAAGGCTTAATAAGGTCAACAAAGGTCACATATAAAACATGGTGGTATTCAATATACTTGTAATTGTCCGAGACTAAAGCTCATGGCCATCAAGCCACAGCCTTCAATAAAACCACTTGGCTTTTATGTACAATTACATTTTAATGGTTTTATTGACACAATTTTTGAATGAGCTTGACCAATTACATAAAATTAATAAAAGAGAGACCTTCTGTCCTTGCTGGGTGCCTGCCAACAATGCATCCATCGAGTGCTTTATAGAATTGGTAGTATTTATGTGACTGCAAGTGCTGAATTTTAATTATATTGCCAACGTTTATTTTCCACTTCTCATTTCTTCTGGAAAACGGATGTTTGCTGTGCTTATTTCTTCCCACAGGTCTTGGAGCCTTGAGGTAGGGCACTTTACACTGGGGGTTTTGGTATTCAGTAGTTTCTGGATCCGTCTGTAGTTTCTATCAAACCAATTCCTGTCTGTTCTTGGAGCATCAAGAATTTTTGAGGAGACCATGTAGACTGTGTGCCCTTTAACCTTTACCAGCATAGTTCATGGCGTGAGTTTCTTATGAGGCAAAAGAGCCAAAAGAGATGTTTCTGTTTACCACTAGTGTCACTTTGTTATAGGTTGTGCTGTCTTACTTTTAGATGCAATGCTCAATATCCCCACACACGCCTCTTATCACTTGTCTTATCTTTTAAATGTCATGTAAAATATTAGTGCTTGTTTTGATCTAGAGTGCATCCTGCCAGTTTTGTCATGGTTAGGAAGCTGAAAGCACATGTTAGAAGTTGAGAAGTCATTCAAAGAGCACATCCTCAATTGGAGTAGGGAATTGTGGTTGGTCTTGCCTACACCATCCTCTTTAATCTGCATTCTAGGGATTGGCATTAAAGAAAAATTAAATAATTGAGTCCACTTCACTTTTGTGTAGGTCTTCAGTGAAGTTGTTGTTTTTTTTACTTTGGCAGTTCTCTTGGCTCATCAGAGTGTGAATGTTCCAGGTTTCAAAGGAAGTTTGTGCTTTTTAGTTCCACCTATTCAATAAATACCCACCTGATCAGAGCTGATCATTTTTCTCCTCCCCTGACTAGGCTGGATAATGGTGAGGCAGCACCTCGAGTAACTTGGAAGTCCTGCAAGTAAACCACTCCTGTAAAAACTGCACAACGCATCTCTCTTATGTTCTCTGTATGTGAAGTTACTGCTACAACTTGGTGAATGTCTTAGAAATTTGCAAACTCAGATTAATTTATTTTGTACAGAGCCTTTCAAGAAAAACGGCCCTCATGTGAATTTGTTTTACATTTAAAGATCTTTCATAATCTGATGATTTACTTAATTTGCTTATTATACTTGCTGCATCACTCCTCATGCCACACTACAGGGTTTTATTGGTCCCAAAATGCAACACCATTACAAAGACACATCTGAATGATTTATCTACTGTTGATAGTCTGTCTGCCATGGCTAGGAAAGTCTTGGTTATCTTCATTTGGCTTGCTGCTGAAGTTATGGATACCATTGAGCAAATTTGAGAGTTACTTTTCAGCTCCTCCTATTTGATGGCATTTACTTCATTGTGATGCTAAATTATTTATAGTTGGGTAATCTGTTGTAAGATACAGGCACTTCTTGGGAGACCAATTATCTGACTGCCCTTCATTGTTGACCAGTTGTAGTTCTGCCTGTTGCCATGATAGCAGGATTTCATATCTGACCACATGAAATCTAACCGGACCTCATGCAAGGCCATTATGGATCCCATAATCCCCTCTTCCTAATATATCCTTAACATCTGCTTGGTCTGAAAATGTCCTCTCACTGACCCTTCATCCCTAACCAGTTTGTGCTAGGACTCTGCAGCCACTGTGCCTAATTTTTGCTTTTCCGTTATAATCATTTTTTTTATATGTACAAAGGTGTGCAGAGACATTAATTTATCTTGGTGACTACCATTTGCATATTAATTACCTTCATGCAAGTGTTTGGCAACATCATTTTCATTTATTTCCATTAACTCAATCCTTATAAATAAACTCCAGCACAATGCTTTTTTACATGTGCAGCATTCCAAGTGCCATGTTGAACACTGCTATTGGATTCTGCTGTTAACACACAAAACATTTTCTGTGCTTAATTTACATAACCATTTAGTTAATGAGGCCTGTAATGTATTGATAAACCATACTAAACCTAGGCTGCTATCGGGAAAGGACCTAATGCATTTTGAATTGTGCTTTATTCAAACACTGCTGTTGTGATCATCAGAATCCAGCACCACAAGCCATGTATGTAAGAAGACATTTAGCGACGAGTAAACAGTATTTCTTTATACCTTATCCAACTGTATTTATACGAGTCATGATCTGAGTGATGTTACATTTTCATTTTAGTGCTGGTCAAATGTCTGCATGGATACACTCTGGTTTTTGAACAATATGAACCAAGTATTTTATTTTTCCCAGGCATGCAAGGAAACACTTCAGCCAGGCAGAGGGGGGCCAGCTGGATGAGGTCCGACAGGTGATGGGAATGCTGGCATTTCCCTCCGATACACACATTTCTCCATACAAGGTAACGCGTCCTGGCAGGGTGGAAAGGGTTCGTAGTGACCCTTCGTGTCATTGCTGATTCTCTATTTCCTTTCTGCTAGTGTAGAGAAGACCACAGCTTTCATGCTGTACCATTCAAGACAAAAGAGAACAGCCTGGAGCTAGAACAAGAATAGCTAAGATTTACAAATTGTAAATGGCAATTCAGTTTAAGGTCACTTGGGACATAATCAGTATCTTAAATTGTCCCTCTTGGGAATGAATAAAGTATTTTGAATTTAATTGAATATCAGGTATTAGCAGTGTTAATTTAGTCACCAATTTTTGATTGAGTCACAGTCTTAGTAAACTAAAGTGTCTGTTGGTCACTTTCTAGTCACCCACATTTAGTCAGGTCAATTGCATTTTGAGTGTAGTCTTCCTTTTGTAAACCAAAATAGAATTGGGTTTTGTCACATTTTAATCGGGGAATTTAGTTCAAAGTGCAATAATTGTTGTTAATAAATAATCTTGTTCAGAGACATCATATGAGTCTTTCCTAATAAGAAAATCTATTTTTTTTGTAAAGTTACTTTTTTCAATGTTTCAGTGCAAAATTATTACAATTTTATTCAGTAGTGGTTCCTATCAATACTGAATTTGCAATTACTGAATGTGTTACTTGAAAATATTATTACTACTGGACAGGACAAGTAATGTATACTTGGCATTCATTTAACTCACTAGTATATTATTAACCAACTCTTTTGATGCCATAATATTGCATGTTGTGCTAGCCTGTTATTTGCCAGACAGAAGGTAAATGTGCAAGCAGTGAACCTCATGTGATGAATTTCATTTCAGTACGAGTTTGAGTCAAATGGGTCTTTTTGTCTTGTCTTAATGCAATCAAAAATTCTAAGCAATTTAGTAATCATTGTGGATTATTTTCACAAGCCCTTTCTCATTTGTAAACTAAAATTAAAAACCAGTCATTGATTAACATTTTAGGCATCATTTACATTGACTAAATTAACACTGTGTATTAACCACAACTGGGCACGTTGTGTGATGTTTAATCAAAATTCTTTGTTTTCCAAAAGAACTTGAGACTTAATCTTACCCATGCTGAGCTTTCATCTACTATAAGACTAATGTATTTGTGCTATTTTCAATTCATAAACAAAATTGGTGCCTTCTAGCCATAGAATTAGGCAATCGTCCATCTTTAAATACATCCATGTCAAGTTCCAGAACTCCATACAGTACTTAGGGTTTTGACTGTATGATTAGTAGGAAGGCATTTACTGAGGATCACTTAATGCAGGGTTGTACATTCTATTTTTGGCATTTTATTACTGGATGGTGTTTAGAAGGTCCCATTCCTGTGGTAATAAAGTTAGTTACACAGCTGGTTTAATCACTTGTATGTGCAGCGAGCAGGTGCCAACGTTATTCTGCTAGTTGAATTAGATCATTTCAAACCTGTCTGCTATTGGCTGCATCCTTTGTTGCTAGGTGCTAGAATACTGAGTGTAATTTTGGAGGGTAAGTCTTTCTATATAGATTAGACGTTTTATGCTTTACCTGGTCCATCAATTATATTTGTAATGCTACTGAAGGCAAGAAAGGCATACAGAACATTAGCAACCAATTCTGTATTGCTACACCACATAAACTCCAACATTGAAAGGATTCATGTTAATTCAGTGTTCAGAGGGAAAAAAATGCTTAATATACAAAAATGATGGGTTGAAGAAAAAACAAAGTATGGAATAAGCAATTCTACGTTTTTGAAGCCGAAATGTCTGGTTGACATTCGTGCATCAATTAGTTGGTAACTATGAAACAGGCCGAATGAGCCAAACTGTTAAAAATGTTAAAAGTGACTTCATTGAGAAAGAGTGGGTAATTTAAAATTTTGATAAGGAGGATGCAGCTTTTTATTTATGGTGTAAATTACATTAACACTGGATAATGTACACCTGACATTAAGTAGAATTCAAAATCTTCAAGATCTTCTGTTGCTACTATCGCATTATATTTTCTTTTCAGAGATTTTGATTGCTATAGTAGCGTTTTTTTTTCAGCAGAATCCTGTTTGGCAATATGTTCAGCAGTGAGCAGGGAACATAACTGTTGTTCAGTTAAATTCAAAGATGTATTCCTGTCTTCAAAGGACCTCTTGGACCCGGCTCGCTGGAAGATGCTTATTCAACAGTTCAGATATGATAACTACAGATTACATCAGCTTGGCAACAACTCTGTGTTCACCATCACTCTTCAGGCAGGACTCTCTGCAATCAAAACACCGTATCCTTTTCAGTCTCTTGCATTTCTGATAATTGCTTATACTTCTATGGCGCTTTTCTGGACACTACATTCAAAGCACTTTACAGGTAATGGGGACTCTCCTTCACCACCAGTGTGCAGCAACCACCTGGATGATGCGACAGCAGCCATAGTGCACCAGAACGCTCACCACATATCAGCTAACAGTGGGGAGGAGAGCAGAGTGATGAAGCTAATTCATAGATAGGGATTATTATACCCCCCCCTCTTTTCGAGAAACACCCTGGGATTCCACACAAATTGTAGAACGCAAAACAAAAAAGCATTAGCAATCCCACAATAAACATATAGAAGTATTTATAAATGGGCTTCTTAATTCTGTCAAGGGATTCTATATGACATGTAGTTCAGGTGGGTAGCTGCGTCAGCATGCGTAGGCTGCAAAGGAACAAGTAAAAGGTTAATTCCATGCTGAAAAAAAGGTGTGTCACAAGAAGGCTCCACGGCCAAAACGTTGTGTTCTTTCTTCTTTTTTTCAGCATGGAATAAACCTATTACTTGTTCTTCTATATGACATGCTTAGTATTACAATATCTAGATACCCTTTCACGTCCTAAATTAGCGTTATAAAATGTGTTATTCCTTAAATCACGTGGGTCACAGACAGTGCTATAAGGAAGATGGAACTTCAAAAAATCCGGACTGCCCTGTCTGCAGCAAGTCTCTGAACAAGCTAGCCCAGCCGTTACCCATGGCCCACTGTGCCAACTCCAGACTAGTGTGTAAAATCTCGGGGGAAGTGATGAATGAAAACAATCCCCCAATGATGCTTCCCAATGGCTATGTTTACGGATATAATGTAAGTATGTGTTATTTTCACTTGAGTGTGCCACCTATTTGTCTGTTTTTTCTTACTGTGAAATGTTCCTGCCTTGGTACCAGATAGAATTCAGTTCTGTGCCCGGGAATTGTACTGAAAATCTAATCTGTTTCTTAAATGTTTTGTCGTGTTCTCCAGTCCCTCCTTTCCATTCGTCAAGATGACAAAGTGATCTGCCCAAGAACCAAAGAAGTCTTCAGCTTCTCCCAGGCTGAGAAAGTCTACATCATGTAGACTTGCAGCGAAGCAGAACTGCAGGATGTATAGGGTGTGGAGACAACCCAGCCTGGTCTGAGAGCACGATGGCAGTGAGCCCCAGTCTCTCCGGAGTCCAAGCTGCACACAGATGCCATTGTTTCTTATGACCAAAGAGCAAATATCGCTTAATCCCCCTGGAGTTTCTGTAATGAGAAGAATCCTGAAACAAAAAGATTTGAAAGTGACATTCATGTTTTGATTGTGGGGACTTATACTGTTAAAAGACTTTTTTTTTTTCAGTGAACATTAAGAAATTAGTTTCATTAGTGTTGTGAGTAGAGGCTCATCTTAATTCCAAGTGCTTCTGCCCTTTTTTATTCAGATGGTAAGTCCATCAGCAGATTAACCTTACTGGTGATGAACTGCAGCACTGTTTTTTTAAATACAGATTAGGACATCTAAAACTTTGATTTGCATTTAAAGGTGTTACTTTGGCTGGGACTAACTAATGCTATTCAAACTGCGCATTCATAGATAAACCTCCCTTTATGATTTCAGAAAGCCTGCTGCTTCTGATCTGTTAAGTCAGTTTAGTATTGGAATTGTAGAAGACAGTTTTAGAAAATACTTATGCATGTTTATATTGGTAGATTATAGGAAAGATTGTTCATGTAAAATTGCTAATCAAGGTTGTTTAATAAAAAGAAATTGCTGTTTTCCTTTTTCATTCATTTTCCTTTTGACTGTCCTGAGAGAATATTCAGATTCAAGTCATGTTTCCTACTTCTGTTCTTATTGATGAAGTGGAATGAGCTATTTGTAAGACCAACTTCTGCTGGGCAAGGAATAAAACTGACAAGTGAGAGACCAGCTTTGAATGGAGCTCTGAAGAAAATCTTTAAAAATTGGCAATATTTTTAGTGTTCTTGTTCAGATTCACAAGACAACATCTGACGCTTGAGTCTTTAAGAGATTCAATATTTAACTGTTCTGTAAGGCAGCTATAAGCTTGCTGAATGATCAAAAGTGAATGAATCATCGAGTCCTTTTATTAATAGGATTATAACCACAGTAATATGAATGTTTTGCTTGGAAAATGAACCTGGACACACCATTGACCGATTTATGATTTTACATATAATTCTCTTAGAACATGCTAAATGTCAGAAATATACAGTAAGGTACCTTATTCTCAAGCACATAATACACCATCTTAAAGAAAAGGAACAAAGGAACAGATTTGGCCATTTTCTTTGACTCTCTTAACTATACTGCTGATATACAGTACAATTGCTTTTTAGAGCAAAACACTTAAAGTGGTCCATACATTGCCTTGCACTTTCAGTGATTTCCCATTTTGTTTAATTACAAATCATGCATCATCATCATCGTGTGTGTGTATATATATATAGTAAATTTAAAGAATTTACTAAATATATATTTTGGGGATATAACTCCTGATATGTACCTTTCAAGAGTCAAGGGGCTTACAAATTCAGCCATTTGCCCACAGTAATTCTAGGCTTATCTGAGGAATTGGAAATTGAAGTATATTTGAAAAAAGTATAGATATAATTGCTTACACTTATATAGCACTTTTCTGGACACTCCACCTTACTCAAAGCACTTTATAAGTAATGGGGTCTCCCTTCCACCACCACCACCAATGTGCAGCCCCACCTGGATGGTGTGACGACAGCCATAGTGCGCCAGAATGCTCCCCACACACCAGCTATCATTGGGGAGGAGAGCAGAGTAATGAAGCTAATTCCTAGATGAGGGTTATTAGGAGGCCATGATCGGTAAGGGACGGGGGAATTTGGCCAGGACGTCAGGGTTACACCCCTACTCTTTTCGAGAAACGCCCTGGGATTTTTAATGACCACAGAGAGTCAGGACCTCGGTTTTACATCTCATCCGAAGGATGGCACCTGTTTACAGTATAGTGTCCCCGTCACTATACTGGGGCATTGGGACCCACATGGACCGCAGGGTGAGCAACCCCTGCTGACCCCACTAACACCTCTTCCAGCAGCAACCTTAGTTTTTCCGAGGAGGTCTCTCATCCAGGTACTGACCAGGCTCACACCTGGGCTGCCAGTTGTGAGTTGCAGAGTGATATGGCTGCTGGCAGTAATGACGCCAGGACAACATTTATTTGAATGGTGTTGAAACAGTGAATTACTGCTTTAACATTGTCTCAAATTGTACCATTTTAAATTCACCTGTTTTTTTAATCTAAATCTAATAAGCCCCTTGATCAGTGATATTTTTTATTTAATCCACTAAAAAAGCATTTTTTATAAAACCTTTGAAATGTGATAAGACGCAGGATAATAAAGAAAGCTAAAGCATTGTTACCTTTGTATTCCCCATAAAATTTCAAAGAAGCTAAATCTATACATTTTTATTAATTCATTACTTTATTTTGATACTTTCTTTTATAATTATGGCAGCTAAGACAACTTGTACCTAAGCTACAAGTATTTAATTGGTAAACATGGTAAAACCCTCATTTGCTGGGTAAATTCTCTGGCTAAATTCAAATATTTCAATCATACAGTATGTGAACTTTCTTGACACTATGGAAAATGTATATAAGATAAGATCACTTTATTAGCCCTATACAATTTCTTGCATTAGGAATTTGTCTATTCACATACCCCAGCTTGCTCTCCATGAGACACACTGACAGGGAGAGAAGCTTGGGGTCAGAGCGCGGGGTCAGCCATTGTACAGCATCCGTGGAGTAGTCTGGGTTAAGGTCCTTGCTCAGGGGCCCAACGGAGTAGGATTCCTCTGCTGGCTGCAGGATTTGAACCAGCCACAAGCACAGATCCTTAGCCACAGTGCCAACGCTCTGCCCCCTATATTGGAGCACTCGCAAAAAAAAAAACTAGTGTCAAGACTAAAGTAAAGTGTCTAGCAGCATATTTTTAAAACTTTAAAAGTGAAGTAGACCTTCATACAGTATATACATTAAGAAATGACTTGACTTGACTTGAAGTCTTTATTGCCATATGTAACCGGTGCTGGTACAATGGAATTCTTACTTACAGAAAGTCTCTCGATTGTAAAACAAGTGTAAAAAAACAAAGTGCAAACAGTGCATCAAGACAATGTACAAACAAACAATAGACAATGTGCAAGTAAACATGCAGACAGTTTGAATGTAAACAATACAGACGTGTAAACAATGACTGGAAACGTACAATAAATAAATTACAATGAGGTAGATGGTGATGGTGTAGGTGTGGTCCGAGGGGGATGGCTAAATGTGTTCGCCAGTCTCACTGCTTGTGGATAGAAGCTATTGAAGAATCTAGTGGTAAGTGTCCGTATGCTCTTATATCTCTTGCCTGAGGGCAGTGGGGTGAAGAGCTCATGCCCGGGGTGGTGACTGTCCTCTGTGATGGTCAGAATTCTACCATGGCAGCGGTCCTCATAGAGCTGGTTAATCTCGGTGAGACCGCAGCCGATGATCTTCTGGGCCATATTGACCATTCTCTGCAGTGCCTTTCTTTCTCGCGAAGAGGTGTTGCCATACCACACGGTGATCCCGTTGGTGAGGACGCTCTCGATAGTGCAGCGGTAGAAGTTCACCAACACATGTATTGGCATCCCCCATCGCTTGAGGCACCTCAAGAAATAAAGGCGCTGCTGAGCCTTCTTCATGATAGAGTCAGTGTTCACAGTCCAGGTTAAATCTTTAGAGATGTGAATTCCCAAAAACCTAAAGCTGGTGACTGTTTCCACTTCTGTTCCACAATACTGAGTGGGCTGTGAGTGTGTGGCCTGTGTCTCCTATGTCAGGCATTTTAAGCCTAAATGGATCTTTGAGCAACATATATAGTCATAAATAAGTGATTTAATGCTAAAATTATCCTAGTCAACAGGATGCTTCAGGATTACAGTTCTAGATCTTTTATTGGTTATTATTTATATTCTACACCTATACGATTGTATGTGCAGGTATTAAAGCATCATTTATAGCTGGAAAGTGTGTATTTTTATTGTTCTGAAGTTCCTAATGTGTATGTGGTGTGCCTGACCAAATAAAACCATAAATAGGAAATTAGCATTCATCTACAATACTGTATAAAAACCCTAATTGAATCTACATGTTAGTAGTTGTGTACAATTGGAAGAAAAAGTTTGTGAACCCTTTGGAATTACTTGGATTTCTGCATTCATTACTCATAGAAATGTGGTCCAATCTTCAACTAAGTCACAATAATAGACCAACACAATCTGCTTAAACTAATAACACACAAACAATTGTACTTCGTCTTGTTAGTGCTGAACACATCGTTTAAACATTCTAGGTTGTTTCTAAACATTCTAAGTTGGAAAAAGTATGTTGAACCTTTAGACTAATGAATTCTCCAAAAGCTAATTCGAGTTAGGTGTTCCAATCAATGAAATTAGATGAGATTGGAGGTGTGGATTGGAGGTGCCCTGCCCTATAAAAAAGGCACACAAAGGTTGGTTACTGACAGATTCTGCTCTTCTCAAGAAAGAGCTGTTCATGTGAACCATGCGCTGATCAAAAGAAATATCAGAGGACCTTGGAAGAAGAATTGTAGAGATGCATAAAGCTGGAAAAGGCTACAAAAGCATTTCTAAAGGTCTGGTTGTCCATTAATCCACAGTAAGACAAATTGTCTATAAATGGAGGAAATTCAGTACTGTTGCTCCTCTCCCTAGGAGTGGGCATCCTGCAAAGATCACAGCAAGAGCACAGCGTGCAATGCTGAAGGAGGTGAAAAAGAACCGTAGGGTAACAGCAAAGAACCTGCAGAAATCTCTTGAACTTGCTAAGCCTATAACACAAACACTGAACAAGAATGGTGTTAATGGAAGGACATCACAGAGGAAACCACTGCTCTCCAAAAAACCAACATTGCTGCACATCTCAAGTTTGCAAAAGACCACCTGGATGTTCCACAATGCTTCTGGGACAATGTTTTGTGGACGGATGAGACAAAAGTTGTTCTGTCTGGGAGAAACTCGTCACGCTATGTTTGGAGGAAAAAAAGCACTGCACACCAACTCCAAAACCTCATCCCAACTGTGAAGCATGGTGGAGGGAGCATCATGGTTTGGGGCTGCTTTGCTGCCTCAGGGCCTGGACAGCTTGTTATCACAGAGGGAACAATGAATTCAAAACTGTATCAAGAAATTTTACAGGAGAATGCGGTCCGTCACCTGAAGCTTAACAGAAGTTGGGTGATGCAACAAGACAATGACCTGAAACACAGGAGAATATTTGTGTTTTGGAATGGCCATGTCAGAGTCCAGACCTCAACCCAATTGAGATGCTGTGGCATGAGCTGAAGAGAGCTGTTCACGCAAGGAATCCCAGAAATATCAATGAACAGAAACAGTTTTGTCAGGAGGAATGGCTTTAATTTCCTCCTGACCGTTGTGCAAGTCTCATCAGCAGCTACGGAAAGCACTGGGTGGAGGTTATTGCTGCTAAAGGAGGTTCTACCAGTTACTAAATGCAAAGGTTCACATACTACTTCCAACCTAGACTGAATGTTTAAAGTGTTCAATATTGTTTACAATTGGTTTGTGTTATTAATTTAAGCAGATTGTGTTTGTCTGTTATTGTGACTTAGTTGAAGATCAGACCACCTTTTTATGAGTAATTCATGCAGAAATCCAGGTAATTCCAAAGGGCTCACAAACTTTTTCTTGCAACTGTATAATTTTTAAATTAAA